GGCGAGCACCCCACAGCAGCCAATATCTGCAGGGTTGGGGAGGGGGCATTCCAGGAGGGTGTGCGGGGGGTGTTCAGGGTGGGTGATGGAGCCCCCTTCCCACCAGTGGGATACCCTGGAGTGCCCGGAGCAAAGGGACATCCCTGCTCTCAGCAGGCAGGGCCTGACAGCCCCCAGGCACCCCTCTGAGACAGCAGCCTGGGGCTCCCAGTCCTGCACAGGGTATCTGCAGGGTTGGGGAGGGGGCATTCCAGGAGGGTGTGCGGGGGGTGTTCAGGGTGGGTGATGGAGCCCCCTTCCCACCAGTGGGATACCCTGGAGTGCCCGGAGCAAAGGGACATCCCTGCTCTCAGCAGGCAGGGCCTGACAGCCCCCAGGCACCCCTCTGAGACAGCAGCCTGGGGCTCCCAGTCCTGCACAGGGAGCAGAGGGGCTCCCCGCTCATCAAAAGTTCTTGGAGTCATGATGAGAAGGGTTTGAGCGAAATTCAAGCTAATGTCTGACCGCACAGCTCTGCACCACGGGTAACGTGGCAGCGCTGCCAGGCTAATCCCAGTGCTACCACACTGGCCATGACCTTACTGCTCCACCAAGCATCCTTGGGTCAGCCGGTAGCTGGCCCCAGCCTGGCTCGTTGCACCTGGCAGAGCCGCTTCCCAACCTTCTCCCATTTCAGGCCTGTCCGCGCTTTCTTTGAGCCCCTGCTTAGCCCTTTAACACTTTCCATAACACCATAAAATGCAATAACTGAACAAAATCCTTTTGATCTCCCGCTCGTCTCTCCAGCCTCACCCCATGTCTCTGGCCACGGCAGGCTCGGGAGCATATTTTGAGCCACCCCCACAGGCAGAGTGTGAGGAAGGATGGGGCCGAGTGTGGCTGATGTGGGCTGCAGTGCTGTGCAGCCACTCTTCCCCGGAAATGGCCTGTGCCCAGCAAAGATGCTCTGGTAACCCCCAGGACCAGCGTGGCCTCCCACCAACGCCATGGGTCCCTGTGCCGCCGGGACCCGGCCACCCCATTCCCGGGCACTGGGCGCTGGGGACGTCACGGAGCCAGCATGAGGCCTGGGGTGGGGGCAATGGGGTGCAAAAACGGAGCAGGTGGGGGGGGGGCTGAGGTCTGCAGGGAGGGGACGTGGGCTGGGGGAGGAAGGCAACGCAGCGCTGGGAAAGGAGGAACAGGGCTGGGGGGATCAGTGAAAGGAAGGGACAGGGAGAGCAGTGGGACACTGAGAAGGTGGCAAGGACTTTTGGGGACTCTCTTATTCTTTGACCAGGGTGGGCTCAACTGGCAGGGCAGGGAGTGCACAGCAGAGAACAGATGCACTCAGCACATGCAGCAGGGCCAGGCACTGGCAGGGGGCTTCTTGTGGGGTCCTGCAGCTGGGGGCAACCCCAGGAGAAGGGGACACATCCCAAGAGGAGGAGGAGAAGGGCTAGAGTGGGTCCCAGGGCAGAGGCTGTGGGGGAGAAGGAAGTGCTGGAGCAATGCTGGGGGCAGCGAGGCCACCCCTCTGCTTCACCCTTCTGCACCTTGGGGCTGTCTCCTTTCGATGTGCCAGCAGAGCCACTGGTACTTGGGATGGAGATGCTGCAGGGTGCGATGCTCCAGTTCATCCCCACAACAACAGGGAGGGCAGCTCGCGAAGTGGGGCAGAGAAACCCGCAGCCCCCCAAGCAGTCCCTGGGCCGGGGTTCGAGCATCCCCCTGCTCAGGACCACGTGCCCCCACACCAGCCCCCAGGCCCTTTCCCTCTGCCCGGGGCACTGCTCCTCCTTATCTCACTTCCGCGCACCTTCCGGCGTGAGCAGGGCAGGGGTGCTTCCCCCCGATCGCCGGGCCCGAGCCCCCCTCTGACCGCAGGGCTATTTCGGGATGTTTGTTTGTCCCGAGAGACCCGGCGCGCTGAGGAGGGGGAGCAGCGG